ACAGTTGATGTATGCATGGATTGTGATAAGAGTTGTATGAGCCCCTAATAAAATGATTAAAAAAATAAAGAGGAGCTTCCTCTTAGGAAGGAAACTGGTAAAGGGAGCTAAAAGACCACAGATAACCGATTAGAGCACTACTTTGAGATTTCTCAGGGTTAGCATAAATTCACATCACCCTGAGCTGTTAGAGTAGAATTCTCCTTCGATTCAGTTGAGGCTCAGCAAGTAGAACTACCTACAACACCAAAACAATATAAACAAATCTTGGCCTAAGTAAAAACAAGAGCAAGCTAATAATAAAAATAGACTAAGAATAAAATGTAGAGAGTCTCAGAGGCAAGAGAGGCAAAAACCGGAAAATCCGAGAGTTACTCAGGCGGCTCCCAAAAGGCCCTGGGTCCAAAGGACTCAGAGCCCGATGTCCCCAATCTCGGAGGACCACAGGAGGAAGTTGCCTTTGAATCCCACAATTTAAAAAGTTCCCTTTATTGTTAAGTAAGTGGGGGTTTACATGTCAGATCACTGTGTTTGCATTCAACATTTTAAACAATTTATCAAACCTCCCAATGGCTTGCTTTACGCCCTGCCCATCTCCTGGTGGTGTATTATTTTCCACTTCAGGATCCTACAATTTTGACCCCCAAATTGTGAGGAGAGAACTAGGAGTCTGTTAGAAAGAAAGAAAAACCAATGGGGAAGCAGAGTCAAGAAGCCCATGGCAAAGTGCTCCAGAGAGTTGTTAATTTAGAAAGGCTTACAAAGACCAGCAAAGGAGCCCTGGTGATGAAGGAGGCCACTCGATGCCCTGCTATGGCAAGGTCAGCAGTTTGAAACCACCAGGAGCTGTGCGGGAGAGAAGTGAGGCTATCTACTCCGGTAAAGATTTAGCCTCAGAAACCCACAGGGGCAGTTCTACTCTGCTCGGCAGGGTAGTTGGGAATGAGTTTGGTTTCAAGTATACAGACAAGCAGAAGGGTACAGCTAACACACTCGCTTGTTAACACAGACAGAGTTTAGAGGCGGGTGTGGAACAAGTGATGGAAAAAGTACAGGGACAGGTAAGGTCCCAGACACAGGTCAGAAGAACTCCCCCCTTTTTTGTTGTTGTTGAAGGGGTCTGATAATCGGGACCGCTAAAATCACATGCTGAACGCACCGTGGTACCAGTCCATTCATCTCCGCCAGCCACTGCTAACCACAAGCTCTTCAGCATCTTAGAATTGCAGACACGTAGACTCGCGTGGGCAAAACCACATTTTCTGGAGAGCGGCTTGTTTCTGGGTCAAAGGTAGGTGGAAATTCAGCAGAGGGGGCAGGCGGCTTTGCCTGGCAGAAGCTGCATTTAAAAATCCAAAATGGAGTCTCTTCAAGGACAGGGGGTTGGCCTAGACTTGAGTCAGAAATCTCAGCCACGACGACAGCCCAGCAGCTGTACGTTTGACAACGCTTAAGTCAGGAATTGAACTGTCTGTCAACCGAGAGGCTGATGGAACCCGAGGGTGGGGGGCGCTGCAGCCAAGATGGGAGATCTCGTTCTCCCTGGCACCTCACCCGCTCGCTTCCTTGCAGCTTTTCTCCAGGGCCCCCCGCCCCTTAGAAAGCCGGACTCGCAGTAGCCTCTTCAGGGCGCGTGCTGCGGTCCCCTCTTTTCCTGGGGCGCAGCGAACTCGGGGCCTCAGTACAGGGCGTGTGTCCCGAGGCTGTTTGCTTAGCAAACGATGGCCGCTTCCTCCTTCCTTATCTTTCCGTCAGGCCGTGTCACGCCTCGCTTCGACCCCCCCAGGTGCCTCGGTCCCCCAGGTGTTCGCCCAGGGCGTGTAGCGCCTCCAGGAACCTGAAGCGGATGCACCCACTAACCGGTGCCACGTCTCCGCCG